ACTGTAGAAGAATTGATGCCTTTGAGTTATGGTGTTGGAGGAGGATATTGAAAGTACCATGAACTGCCAAAAGACTGTGTTGAAAGAAGCTAGCATAGCCAGACTTCATCTTTCATACTTTAGACAAATTGTCAGGAGGGACCAGTCACTTGAGAAAGATATCATGTTTGGTAAAGTGGCGGCTTGGAGAAAAAGAGGAAGACCCCCAGCGAGACGTATTGGTACAGTGGCAGCATCAGTGGGCTCAAATGTAGCAACGATCGTGAGGTTGGCCATGGATCTGTCAGCGTTTTGTTCTGTCACTATGAGTCAGTACTGACCTGATGGCACCTAACAACAACAACAATAAAATATATAACACATAATTTTCATTGCTTATGCAACATCACCCCTTATCCTTGCTAATAAATAATAGAGAGACTTGGATGTAAGGGATTAAAAGGGCCCTCTGTAAATCCATGTAAATTCCATTTCCGTGCACTTAGTGATTGGTCTCAGTGAATGACATATGCCTCACTTCTACCTAATTAGATGACAAAGAAATTCTTCTATGGCATAACACCTGTAATTCTGGTAGCCAGCTCATGAGCATTAAAATAAATCAACACACAGAATTATTCAGGGTAGCAGAGAAGAAGGGTTATACAGCTAGAAATTTCCTGAGTCCCGGATGACATCACTAAGTAGCTACAAAATATCTTGAACTGCATATATCTACACAAAGGGGTTTGTGAGTTAACAAAAATCAGTATTGCTTAAGCTACTGTTACTGGATATTTTGAAGCTAGTCACATTTCTAATTAATACACATTGCCCTTTAGGATTCTTGCTAACTGACTCTGACCAACCTTGGTAGTTTCTTCAATCTTGCCCACACTCTTTGCATAGGTAAGACTTTGTGTCATTTTGGCTGGGCCAGGGTTCTCAGTGGTTGAACAGTCAAGATGGAATCACCTCCATGATGAGATCTATTCTGATGCAATCACACTCCTATGTGCTCTGATGTGATTGGTCCTGATCTGATTTAATTCTCCTATGGGTTGTAAATGCTTACTTTTATGATGTTAATGAGGGCAGATGCAACCTACAGGATTATATTGTGTCTCAGTCTATCTCTTTAGCTATATAAATGCAAACAGAGCTGAGAGGGACCTGCTACCACTGAGAAAGAAGATCTGGGAGTAGAGTGTGTCCTTTGGACCTGGGTCCCTGCACTATGAAGCTCTTAAACCTAGTGGAAGACTGATGCCAAGACACATGGAGATCTCCAAGGGATATTGGGCCTACACATGCTGAAAGGAGACAGGGACCTTGTCTCTAGAGAGGGGGCTCTGAATTTGGACGTCTAGCTGCCTACACTGGGAGAGAATAAATTTCCGTTTGTTAGAGCCATCTATTTCTGTTAGAGCAGCACTGGATCACTCAGACACAAACTATGCCCAAATCCACCGACTTTCAGGTTTTCATCTAGAAGTCTGTCACTTCCTTCTTCATCTTTCTGGTGAATGACTATGTTTCAGGCTCTACCTCAAATGTTACCTTCTCTACAAGTTATTATTTTATCCATCTCGTTGTTGTTATGTGCCATGGAGTCCATTCTGACTTATAGAGACCCTGTATAAGATGTCAGAGGAGCTGTTGGTGGCTTTGAACCTCCAACCTTGTGATTAGTAGTTCCGTGCTTATCCTATAGCACCATACCAGGACTCTAAGCAAAATCACATGTTCCCAGGAAATTGATTTCTTTATGGTCTCACCTATCATTTGTATGTAACATTTCTTGTTGTTGTTAAATGCTGCCGAGTCGGTTCTGACCCATACCGATCCTGTACAGGGTTTCTGAGGTGAGCTCGAACTGCCAACCTGTGGTTCAAAGTGACTATGCAATCAGTGCAGTGCATTAACTCACAGCACCACATCAGGACTCTACATGTAACCTAGTCTAGTGCAGCCATCACTTTGTCAGTCTTGCCCTAGACTTTCAGCATCTATATGAAAGGCTGCAACCTTGTTGTCAAGGTTCTTCAA